CTGCTGCAGTGCCAATGATGAGGTCTAGTCCATTCAGGAAGTGTTATCGTGCCTTAGAAACCCCTCTTTTCTATGCATGCAGAAAACTTTTCTTTTGTCAATTTATGTTCCTGAAACATAGTGTTTGTTAATCATAATCAGTGCCAAATCACATTACTGAACACAGATTTTAAAGGCAAAGTTAAAAACTGAGTTCAGCTCCTACTACTATTTTACAATGGGCAAAAACTGCAGTTTTTTGACAACTGTATAGAAACCATTTGCCATCACCAGACCATACCTTGAACATACCCTAAAAAAAAAAAAAAATCTCACCCTGGATGTTGGTATCACTTGGATCAAACTACTTCCAGAGCAATGTAGATGTAGGATACCTGCACCAGATCAGGTAAACTCTGCACAGTTCTATTAAATGACCCAATGCAGGATATATATATATATGCATATAGATAGATAGATAGATAGATAGATAGATAGATAGATAGATAGATAGATAGATGATAGATAGATAGATAGATAGATAGATAGATAGATAGATAGATAGATATAGATAGATAGATATAGATAGATAGATAGATAGATAGATAGATAGATAGATAGATAGATAGATAGATATATTAGTGCCTTCATCATGCCACATGTAGTAATCCTCATTCAGCTTTAATCACATTTGGAAACGAAGCAAAACTGTTCAAAGTTTGCATTATGTTTAGTTCCACACCAGTTAATATTGAGTTAAAATCTGGGGGGGAAACTGCTAACCACTTCCAACTCACGAACATTAATTGACTGGGTTCACCCAAGGTATTAATTAAACAGAGCTGAGTAGTTTGTCATTTAACACATGATGGGAACACAGCCATGGTCATAGCATAATTGAGGGAAGCAAGCCAACATGATGCTTCATGCTACAATTAATTTGTTTAAGGCTTGTGACTGCGTTTTGCTAATCCAGGTTTAAGATTGAATATTATGTGTGAATCTTAATGTGTTTGAGCTAATATTTGCAACCTGCTTCCAAGGAAGAAAGTAGAAGAGAATAGGGAACAAATCCAGCAACCGAGATCAATATTTTTTGCAATAAGATGCACCTGCAAATATGCATCCAATGAAGGATACTGTACCAGTGAGAATAACAACTGCATTTGGACTAGCCTCTGCATGCAAATGTTTGTCCTCTGCTGTGCTTTTCTCTGAGAAGTACATTTGTAACACACATCCAGATATGAGGGACACTCTAATCTGTTGCCTCAACAACAAGGATGCAGATCCTTTTGCACTGACCACAGAAATACAGTCTGTGCAAAGGGGAAGGGAGTGAAGATTGCATTTTTGCAACGACTGAAAATATTCACGAAATGCTCTCCCTCGCCCACACCCAGCATCTGATTGGGGGCGGGTAGTTTGTGATGTGGTATAAAAATGTATGAAAGAGTGGACATTTTCTTTTCCAGAAATAGTTTCCATGCCACACAAAGCAGCCATATTCACAGGGACAATCAACCCTTACAAAAACTGGGTGAAACAGGAACGTTAATAAACAGGAGTTGCTAATCTCAGCTTTCTGAACAGTATAGTACACTTTATAGCGAGCCTGGAAATTGATCAAAGAGAGAGTAAAAATGGCTTCTAGACATTTTCAAAGCCTGTCCTATGAGATGTGTCAAATGTATTATCTGAAATAGTGAACTGAAATAATGAAGACACCCAATAGGCTCAGTGAAGTACACTTTGATGTAAGATTGTGCAACCTATCTAAATCAGAGTAAGAGTTGCTCAGCAATATCGTTATTGGAAATAATTATCTCCTGAAATTACTCTTCCATTTTTTTTAGAAACCTGAGCTTATCCTGCTACCTTGACTTTTGCAGCCTGGAAGAAAAAGGTTTGCAAGATTCAGAAAGATATGGACCTGACACAAAGAAGGAGGCACGAAAAATTTTTTGGACGAACACAGGTTCAACCCCAGCACTGCTCAGTTGCCCTTTCCCCCAAGCCTAAGTAGAATTAGAACGTCCATATTAAGGCTCTGTTTACATCTCCCCCTTCTCCACTCTCTCCCTCATCTTCAATTGGTACAAGAACTCAGTATTTGCCTTCCTGTTGTTTTACTTGTGGATGTAAGTATGAAAAGGCTTGTCTGAGCCAGTCTCGATGAATGGAAGGTCTTATAACCTTCCAGAAAGGATGATGGGATCTGTCTCCAGAAAAAGGAACCAAGCCTGCATATTTATTTAGGGTCTTTTTTCATTTGCACAAATGGATATCTTTTTTTCTGCCACATGTGAGTTTTCTATTTTCATCTCATCCCCTGCCTATGTGTGAGACAATCTTAGGTTTAGCCTGACACCATCTAAGGACAGCTTTAGGGTCTATTAAATCTGTCAGCCACCAACTTGGACGTAAGTCAGATGATAGCAATGACTTTAAAGAGACAATGGAGGCAGGACAGGGAGGGACAGAAAATTTCCTCCTGGTATAGTTCCAGCAATATCAAAGTGCTCTCCAACTAGAGTCAAAACATGGCTGGAGGATGAGGACAGGCAAACTGCTGAGTCATCCTCATCTTTTAATGCAACTAGCATCGTACCGCATAAAAGTTTGCAGTTTTCTTTTATCCATGTAAATGAACTGGCAGGCCTAGTTTTACCCACTATTTCAGTTTTTCAGAGTAGCTCACAATTACAGCCTGGTTTAGGAATCATGGCAGGAACTTAAGGAGCTGATGTGACATAATTCCTAAAGAGACTGAGTTAGGAATTGGGAAGTTATCTCAGAACCATTGTACCATATCTTTCAAAAATCCTCGAACACTGTGGAAGTACCTGGGGATTGGAGAAAAGCTGATGTAGTTCCCATCTTCAAGAAAGGAAAACAAAAAACAGACCCAGGAAACTACAGACCAATCAGTCAAACATCAATACCTGAGAAGATTCAGGGAAAGATAATCAAAAAGCAGACCTGCAAACATCTAGAAGCAAATAAAGTTATAACTAGTAGCCAGCATAGGTTTGTTAAAAACACTTCATACCAAGCCAATCTTATCTCACTCTTTGATAAAGTCACTAAATTAGTAGACCAGTGAAATGCTGTGAACATAGTATACTTAGATTTCAGTAAGGCATTTGACAAAGTAGACCACAATCTACTTCATGATAAGCTAGAAAATTGTGGAATAGAAAACATCACCAGATGAATTTGGAGACGGCTGACAAATGAGCAGTCCTTAATGGTACTACATCCACATGGAGAGAAGTAAGCAGTGGGGTATCACAAGGCTCCGCCCAGTACTTTTCAATATCTTCATAAATGACTTAGATGAGGAAATAGAAGGGGAACTCATCAAGTTTCCAAATGACACTAAACTAGCAGGAATAGCCAACACTCCAGAAGACAAGTTCAAGATCCAAAAAGACCTTGACAAACTTGAACAATGCACCCTATCCAACAAAATGAATTTCAATGTGGAGAAAAGCAAAGTTTTACATTTAGGCAGAAAAAACCAAAGCTATAAATACAGATTAGGTGAGACCTGCGTCAAAAATAGTAACTGTGAAAGGGACCTTGGAGTCTTAGTGGATGATCATTTGAATATGAGCCAGCAGTGTGCAGCAGCACCAAAAAAGCTAATACAATCCTGTGTTGTATAAACAGAGGCATAGAATCAAGATCATGTAAAGTATTAGTACCTTATCTGAAATAGTATAGGTCAGTGATGGCTAACCTTTTTGCCGTCATGTGCCAAAAGTGGGGGGAGAGCAAGGGGGCACGCACACATGCCCACACCAGGGGTGGGTTCTAAAATTTTTTTACTACTGGTTCTGTGGGCATGGCTTATTTTGTGGGAGTGGCTTGGTGGGGGTAATGTGACTGGGTGGCGGTGGCCAACTTTTTTTCTTTTTTTTACTTTAAAAGCATTTTTTTCTACAACCTTAAGAAGTTGCAGAAAAAAAATGCTTTTAGAAGCCTCTGACAATCAGGCAACTCAGCTGAGATCGCCAGAGGCTTTTAAAGGCATTTTTTTTCCCTACAGCCCCTTCGGCTGAAGAGGTTATAGAAAAAATGCTTTTAAAAGCCTCTAATGATCCCAGCTGAGACCCAGCTGAGCCAAAGAGTTGTAGAAAAAATGCTTTTAAAAGTAAAAAAAAAAAGCCTTTGATGAGGTGGGCGGGGTAAGCAAGTGGTGACCAGGCCGGGGACCAGTTCGGGGGCGTGGCCAGCCAATGTTATTACCGGTTCTCCGAACTACTAAAATTTTTTACTATCAGTTCTTGCGAACCAGTCCAAACTGGAAGCAACCCACCACTGGCCCACACCCATAATGCAATGCCCCCACATGACCCCCTGCACTACTCCTGCCAACCCGTGCATGTGCGCGTGACCCCCCGCGGCCCATTTTGGGCCTGGCAAGCCTCCCTGAAGCCTCCTAAGATCAAAAATGGGCCACAGGGGGAGCGCTACACACCCCCATGGCCCATTTTGGTGTGGGAGACTGCACCGCTCCCCCGTGCTCCCACTACCACCATGCATGTGTGTGAGACCCTGCCCTGCCCCCGCACATGTGCATTAGACTTTCATGCATGAGTGCATGTCTCCCACATGTGTCCCACCCCCACACCAGAGACCCAAAAATCAGCTGGCCGGTGGAAGGCACGTGCGCATGCGCAGTGGAGCTGAGCTGGGTGATGGCTTGTGTGCCCACAGAGAGGGCTCCACATGTCATCTTTGGCACGTCTGCCATAGGTTCACCATCACGGCTATAGGTCTAGTCCTGCAGGAGGCTGAACTAGAAGACTTGCAAGGTTCCTTCCAGCTCATTCATTCTAAATCCCAGTTTGAATCTTGCCTCTGCCATGAACTCATTTGATGATGATAAGTGACTCAGTTTCTCCCTTCTCCCCATGTGCTTGGGGAAATGATAAGGACAAAAGAAAAAAGCAAGTGAAGGGCACCAGACATTTGAAAAACTAAGCCAGGGTAAGAACTGATCTTATTTCTTCCTCACTTATTCAGCAGTGAATCAGGAGGAAAAAAAGAGCCTTTTGTCCAGTCCTTTGCTTGTCTGCCAATAGCAGCCCTTGGCGAATGAGAGTTTTGATGGACAAAAAGACCGAGGAACATTGGGGAAGGGAGAAACTGTAACAGCATTTCAATGCAGCTCGAACACTGATGGAATGGATGTGGAGAAAGGCAGTATCCTCTTCCATATAGAAACCATCAGGCGAAGAGGAAATGTTGCAAGCAAATTCCTACTCTCAACAAACATTCACAAAAGAGAATCTTTCAGAAAGGTAAGTAGGTGTCTCTGATCAAACTGATTTAGACATACAGAAATCAGGAGTGTGCCAAAAGGAAAATTTTCCTGTCTCTATTTCCAGTTGCCAGTTTTATGGAATGCCTTTGCAGAGCTTCGCAGATGATACTGCACCACACTGTAATGTATGTCTTGTATGTATACATACTGTTGTGACTCCGACCCCCGAGCCTGACTTATCGGAGGGAGAAGGCTCCGAACATGAAGGACAGGAGTTGGCCAGGCTTTCCTCTCCAGGACCCTCCTCTCTGGCAATACCTCAGGTTTCTCCTGAAGGAGAAGAGATTGGCCAGGAGCCAGGTATCTCCTCACAGTCGGATAGTGACGGAGATAAGTCTTGGCTGGATCCATGCCAGCGTCAGAGAGACAAGCACACGCAGCAGAAAAGGAGGCATGCCAGAGATTAAGCTGAGTCACTGAACCACACCCCACAGGGGATAAAAGGGGGTGAGGTGGCCATTCAGACTCTGTGACAGATAAAACTAACTACTAGCGAGTCACATTGTATCTTTGAAACAACGTTATCTGCCTTGGATTTAATACAGACTGGACTTGACAATTCTTGAACTGTGTGTATCTTGTTGGGTTTATCTGTCGGAGGAACAACCCCTCCCTCTATGAGTAAAGTACTTGGCAAGCAGCTACTGGGTTGCTGCCAATCCTCTTATCGAAAGAATTTGTTGTCTGCCAGTTTTATTTAACCCCTGGCTATCTGTTTGTGTGCGTGTGTGAGATGGGGACAGAACACATACATAAATACACATTTCTGTAGAGAATACTTGCAAACTGGTTGTGTTACTCATGAATGAAGGCAAAGATACGTGTCGTAGGATAACAGTGCAGGATCCAATCTGGATTGATTACTGGGATCAGAGGTTTAGTCTTCTGAGTTTTCAGACTCGTGCTGGAGCCCATCCTCGGGGAATTTCTCTCTGGCAGGTTATGTGGTCCTCTGATTGTATTATTATCTACAGCCAGGTGCAATGGATATTAATGATTCTGTAACCCATTCCCTTATACTGCTACCAGCATATTGAAATTCATGCGGCAGTCCAGACCATAACCTTATATATGGAAAACTTTTACTAGGTTACCGTGTACACCTTCAACACATCATACATTTGCTGGCTATTAAAGCCTATGAACTGGAGGAAAATTTTGTTGGCATGATCCACTGGAAGTGACAATTTTGTTTTTAATGCAAAATATTAAATAAGAGTGGCTGTTATAGATGTCTTAATGTAGTTCCTGCAGAAGATACCTTTTGAAAGTCTGCAGCCCTTTTCTCTCCCACTGATCCCCATTTCCCTTTCTCCTCACCAGTCGCTATTTTTTTTCCAATCGTTGACCACTCACAAAACGCTGCACAGTGGCTGTTTCAATTTTTTGACTGTTATAGGAGAACATCAAATAACTCAGGCTATGAAAAGAATATTTGATATTTTTAACAAATGTCATGAGAAGGGATTTGCTGGAGATAAAGCGCAGCTGCTTCTGGCAGTATAATCGAGCTGATCTTGCATCTACCCAAAAGGTATTTTTTTCAGAAAAACAATAGAATTTAGGGGGTTGTATATAACTGTGTGTGCGTTGTTTTCCTTTCGGGAACTCTGGATTTGTTTTTTAGACAAAAGCCCGATTCCCAAGTCAGTTAAAACAATGGATTTTAAACTGACGTACAATAGTCTAATCATAAACGCATTACATGGCTCTTTGATTTCAGTGACACTCATTTTCAAATCATATTGGATTAAAGCTGCCTTTTTTTCCCAGTATTCTACATTCAAGGGACTTTTAGGTTTCTAGAGAATCTGGGGAGATAAACAGTCCAAGCATCAGTCAAGTCTATTGAGCCTCATAATTACCTAGGTGATTTCAGAGCACATCCCAACTTATCCGCAGGCCTCTTTATCCTTTTGCAGAGAGTAAATCAATAGCCATATAAAAATTCTTCTTCAAAAAAGCTTGGGTGTGGGTTTCCTTGCTGCTAAGTCCTTGGTGATAAGGATCCAAGAACCACAGAGCTGCTTGAAACACAGTTGGAAATGACTAGATTAGGATGTTATTTAAATGGATTTTAAAGTGTAGGGAAAAGTGCAACCTCATATTTGACATCCAGGAACTTTGGCTTACTATTCTGAAAGATGATGGGGTCTAGTTCTATGAGTTCCTCCACAGATAGAGGAATTTATAAAACTGTCAGACCGAAACCCCAAAACAACAACAAAATCCAATCAAGTCCAATCCTTTATTTGTTCACACCTAATCGACAGAATCTTCCCAAAATAATACTATAACCTTCTACTAGATATATTCTGAAAGATTCTAGCATGTGGCTATCCCAAATCTCTTCCTCCCTGCCCCATCCAGCTCAGGCCTGCACAGTTCGTTATTTGTGCTTCTCTCTTATAGTGTGCACTTTGCCCCTGGGAAAACTCTGCTGCCAAAACTCATTTCCACTGCTTCTCCAGGTGCAGATTCCATCACAAGAACTCTCCTTGAAGATCTTAGCTGATGTTGGAAATGATATCAAGTCTCAGCTGGTATTATTAGCTCAATATTGTTATCCATACAAAGATAATTCTAAACAGAAAGTATAGTTCTGGTCCAGCAGTGGGTTTCAATTTCGGTCACTACCAGTTCGCTTGTGGGTGTGCGTGCACGCAATGCTTCTGCGCATGAGCAGAGATGTCCACGCAGGTGGGCAGAGCCTCCTGAACAGGAGCAAACTGGTAGAAACCCACCACTGATTTGGCAATATATTACAGCTCCTTGTACTCAAACAAAAGCTTTATAAGGCAAAGGTCATAATTTAGCAAAGTTAAGCACCTTTAACACTATTTTTTTAAAAAAAAATCAGTTCAATAACAGTGATGTCAATACAATAAGCAGCTCAGAAAGTTTTGAAAGGTTCCTTTTTTAAAAAAAAAAATATCCTGAATTGCTGGCAAATCAATCTGAATAGGATTCTTGACTATTTGACATTCCCCAAAATAGAGAATGCCATCTTGTCTTTGTTCCCCTTTCTGAAAAGTAAAGATAGTGCCTGGGAACCAATGCTACCAATATCTTTTCCTGCCAGGAGGCTAATTCAAAATCTGTAATCCCCCAAGAGGTTGCCTGGTTTGCTATTAGAATCATCTTCATTGTTCATCCTTTCAAGAGAACCCAAGAGCCTAGATAGACTTTTCCTGTCTTGGAGAAAGCTGTTATCTTAGCCTAGCTTCTTTTTCCTTTTTTTTTCTTTTCCTCCTTATTTTGATACAAAAATATATGGTAGCTATGTATGGAAGAGGAACAGGACCCTGAGGGGAATTTCATCCAAATAAAAAACTCACAGAGGTTCGATTGTATTTTGGTCCCTTGCCCTCCCTGTTTATAGATGCTAATAGTGGATATTCCAGTTCCTAAGATGTATACGGCCTGCATCCTTGAGGGTTAAAAGAGCCAGTTTGGTACAGTGGTTAAGATGCTGGGCTGGGAAAACTCAATAAACACTCACAGGGTACAGAGGACATTAGAAACAGGAAGTTCTTGGGGGGGAGGGGAAGCGGTATATAAATGAAAAATATCTAAGAGATAATATGTGACTTTGTATAGGTTATGCCCTGCCATAGCCGCATTCTCAGGCCCACTTTAGCCTTTCTCTGTCCAGTGCAAAAATGCACAACAGGTTTGTAACCATATTCTCCTGAATATATTTGCACACTTCCTTGCATCCAAGGGACCCTGGTTAGACAAGTAAGATGGGAAATGCAAAGAGTCTTATCAATACAATCAGCAGATACACTTATATACTTCTTGCAGGAGAATGCTTTACCATGGAAACGTTTGCCGACCTTCAAGATTTCTAGCACGATTGAGATTGAATCTTTTGGACACCCTCTCTTCCCCATTATACTTTAATCCCCATACGCATGCCAGGAAGCTTGGCCTGTTTTATTATCTATTCCATTTCCCCGTCTTGCTTTTCCCATTTCAGGATGTGGCATTTAACTTCTTTTCAAACTTTCCTACAGGTTCTGGCCTCTGCCTCTAGGGCACCTGCTGAAAACTTGTATTTTTACCCAGGACTTCCCACTATAAATTGTGGAAAATTTCCTTTCCCACCTCACCTTCCATTCCATTTCATGTTGTTTTATATATTATTTCCATGTGCTATTTTAATAGGGAGATTACTTTTTGCTTTTATTATAAATTGCGTCAAGATACTTCTGCACAAGGAACAACATGGAATATTTGCTTTGGAAGAATGCTCTTTTTCTATACTGTTTCTGTGGAAGAAGAGAGGAAACTATCTATGGATTAGTGTATGTGTGTGTATGAGAGAGGGAGAAAGAGAGAGAGAGAGAGAATATTTAGTATATGCCAATGGGGAGCAATTAAGGTTTTAAATTGGATACCTTATTTTAGAGTCAATTAACTTCAATTAGTTATTAATTCATTCAGTATATTTATTTGTATAGGCCTGCCCGTGGGTTCCTACCGGTTCAGCACGGTTCTGCCAAGCCGGTAGCGGTGACAATATGATGTCACCGAATCGGTTCTCTTTGTTCGGGAGCTGGGCCCTCCCGCCCCCCCATGTTATTGTTACCTTTTATTTGGCCCCACCCCCAATCTATTCGCTGCCTCCCAGCTGATCAGCTAGAAAGAAAAAAAACTGTTTAAACTTTTGCCGCAGGGCTTCAAAGGGACGCCCTACAGCTAATCAGTGTTAAAAGGCAGTGTGGTGGTAGACCAGTGCACTCAAAAACAAATAGGTAGACCGGTACAGTTCTGCAAGCAGTTAAAAGCCTGGTAGACCAGTACCTCTGCTAAATCCTAAAGAATTGTTACATGACCATCAAACCACGCCCACAAAATAAGCCACACCCACAGAACCAGTAGTAAAAAAAATTAGAACCCAGCCCTGGTTTCACTTCTGAATATTTCTCAGGAATATATAAAAATGACAGAGACCTAATCTTGGACCCTCAA